ATGAATACTTAGGCCATTTTTAGTTTTGTAAGCAAACCTCCAATGGGTATCTTGTTCTATTAATCTTCATTGATGTTTATGACTTCGGATAGATTATCAGAAAAGAAACTCTTGGTCAAAATATATAGGCCTCTCTCTCACTTGACACAAATTGCTGAAGGACTTTCTAGAATGTTTTTATGACAACAGTGCTTGAGAATGTTCATTTCACCTTCACCAACACTGCACATGGAAATTAATTTTGCTAGATTTATGTGTAAAAAAATACTGTCATTTTTCTTAAGGAAGAATTTGTTTGTTTTTTAATGACGTTAAATTTGTCCTGTATAATTTTAGCTATTGGTTTTGCAAAACTTCTACAAATGGTTTGTTCATGCCCATTACTCTTTTTTCTATTGAAGTTTGTGTATTTTTAAAATCAATTTATATATACTCTTTTATATAATATAGAAAGTAATAGTTCTCATTTCTGATTTGTTTCTCTTTCCTTTGATATATGTGCTTTTGCTTTATTTTAAAGTTGTCTTCCACTTGTCATAAAATCAGTTTTCAGGCCATATTACCACCATTCAAATTTGAGCAAAGGAGTAAGAAAATTTGAGTTTCAGTTCCTGCTCTGTCACTGTCCCTAATAAGGCAGGCTGTCTTTTTAAATGAATCATACCGCCAGAAAAAGAAAAAAAAAAAATTTGTCCTGAGAAATAATTTGTCCCACAGTATCCTTCCACTGGTGTTTAGTTCTATCTCTGGTGACCACTTAGTAGATATCCAATTTTATACCACATGAAAAAGCATTCAAATATTTGAAGATAACTATTGGAGGTTTTGGGGAGCTCGGGTGGCATAGCATCTAGGACATTTGACTGCTATTCAGAAGGCTGGCAGTTCAAACCCACCAACTACTTCTGGGAAGGATGGTTGGACAATCTACTTCCGTAGTGATACCGCCTCAGAAATTCAAGGAGGGGTTGCTATGAGTCAGATCCGACTGGATGGCAGTGAGTTGTTTTTTTTTTTTTTTTAAATTCGAGGTTTTCAGTTATTATTCTAAATGAGGAAAAAGATAGTGTAAAATAAAGATAAACATGATTGAAAACACTTTGTGACAATTTTGGTAGCTGGGTCATTTTGGGCAAGTCACTTAACTTCACAAGGTCTGTTTCCTATACTTAAAAATGGAGATAACAACTGTTCTGGCCATTTCAGAGAAAGAATCCCATGTGATCATTGTCAACATTAAGATTTGAATCATGCTTTGTAAACTGGAAAACTCTAGACAAAAGTACAAGACAATGACATGATGCAAAATTTGGACTTTGAATTAAAGCAAAAAACATATCTCTGTATCTGTAAATTCAGAAGGAGGGATGGACAATCTACTTCCATAGTGATACAGCCTGGGAAACCCAAGGAAGGGTCGCTATGAGTCGGGTCTGACTTGACGGCAAGTAACAACATATCTGTAAATGAAAAGATTCAACTTCATAAAAGCATATATAAAAAGTTATTTTCAGTTTAGCGGGTAATGTATGATAATGACTGTTTGAAAAATATTATATAAATAAGTAAAGCTGTTTGATGAGTCAGCATGAAAGTTATGATTAAATTTGAGATAAAATAATTGTAAGCATGATTGTTATCATTTTCAGGAAGAAAAATTCAATGAGACAACTGAGAAAAGCCTCAAGATGGTAAAGCAAGAGTGTGAACGTTTTCAGAATTTGGGGAAGGATGACTTGAAATACCAGTAGGTTATTTACAAAAGTAGGTTGATGTTGTGACTAGGATAAAATAGAGTCCCATTGGAATAAAAAGGAAAATTGCTCAGTCTTTTAGTTATGGCCAGTTTCCAAATTCTGGAAGGAATAAGTCACAGGCAAAAGACAGAGGTGCACACTGAGTTGTCACATGAACCCTTCACCAGAAATGAGGCTTAAATTAAAGGTCATGCAACTGAAAAAGAAATGAGGCTAAGATTCTAAGCAAATTGATTCCTCTACCACGTTAGTTTTTGTTTGGACTTTCCTTTCTTACTTCTAATTTCCCTCAGCACTCCCTGGATTCTGTCACCTTGAGGGGGAGATGGAACAAGATACAGGTTACATTTTCCTAGGGAAGAGAGCTAGTTCTTCAGGATTTATCTTCACTTTAACAGAGTGTGTAAAAGTAACTCTGGATTTGTTCAACATTTGCATATTTCATTTACCAGTGTTCTTGTGAACATTGATGGGTAATATGCTGTTTATTTAACTTTTCCCAATATATTATCATACTAATGTAGTGTTTGTTGAAAACAGATATATTCAAATCAAAACAAGAAGACAGTTTTAAAAAATATGTTTCATTGTTTCTGTAATCCAGCTATTAACTTAGAACTGAAATTCAGGCCATTAATTTCTTTTGTCATTGATTATCCTTGCTAATATGGACATATGAAATTCTCCTTTAAAATGTATTTTCACTTCACAAAGGATTTGTTGCCAAAGACTTCCTATGTTCACAGGGGAGACAGAACAGGCAAACATAAGAGCTTCTGAGATTACCATGAGATCAGAAAGAAAGTGAAAATACAGATACGGAAGGCAGGGTGGAGGAAAACGGGAAATGAAGACATTTATTTTTCTGCCATTTTATTAAATGGTGAGCTGAGGTTCACTTTGGACTTACATTGGCTGTCCCTAACTGTGAGGACTTTGGACTCCAAGTAGCTAGACAAAGGAACAGGGGTATATTATTTCATTCAAAACCACAGACTAATGTTCTTTCAGCTACCTTGTTAAAATCACAAAGATGGTTCCGCAGCTCTCCACTGAAGAACTGACCTCTCTCAGCAAGGAAATTGTGGCAGCTTTGGACATGTGCTGTGTACAGAGTGAACAGTTTGCCTGTGTTGACAATTTGGTGAGCATGTCCTATGTTCCTACTGTCCAAAAAAAAAAAAAAAAATTGCATTAATTGGCTATTGGGATTATTTGTATCCATCTTTCTCTCCTTTTCCTTTTCCCTTTTTCTCTCATCATAGTTCTTAACATCGTCAAGCAAAGAACATCAAGTTTTTATTTTGGTTCACTGTATCAAAACTCTAAGAAGCAAAAATGAATGTCTCAAATATTTTCTTGAGGATCTCTAAATCATCATTCTCACTTTTATGTATATTAGGACTGATATGTTAGGAAAAATGATATAGATATACTCACATTGTTTCAGAAGGATATAGGAAACATTATTTTACGTAATGTTATATATTCTCCCTCCTCCTCCACTAATTTAGTAAAATTGCTGCTTCCTGCCCCATAGTGTTTAGTATATCTCTTTAGAGTTTAGTTGGAGAGAGTACCAGGAAGAGAATAAGCCCAAGTGCCATAATGTTTGGTTGTCACTTACAGTTGGCTGTTTGCAGCTCTCTATTTATAATTAAGGGAGTTCTGGTGGAGTAGTGCTTAAGGCACTTGACTGCTAAGCAGAAGGCTGGCAGTCCAAACCCTCCAGCCACTCCTCAGATGGAAGACTGGGCAATCTACTTCCATATAGATACCGCCAAGGAAACTCAAAAAGGGATTGCTAAGAGTTGGAATTGACTCAATGGCAGCTTATAATTACAAGTTTATGCATATATTACCAAGAAGTTAGTCTTCAGACATTGAAATGGATTTGTCTTTAATTCTTATCATAATGCCATTTAACACTTTAGTGTCTAATTTACTTTTTTTTTTTTAGTTTTATTTCACATTGTTCTCCCTCTCTATCAAGGATCTCCTACATAGATTCCCTTCCAAGTGGATGACAGTGGTAGCTGGGCACCATTTAGTTCTTCTGGTCTCATAGTTGCACAGGCTGCAGAT